TTTCTCCAGGTCCATGAGGTGTGACCTTAGATTGTCTGTGTGTGTTCTTTCAGACTTTTGATGTAGGCATTTAATACTATGAGCTTTCCTCTTAGCACCACCATTGCTGTATCCCAGAGGTTTTGATGGTTGTGTCACTATTATCATTCAGTTCAAATAATTTTTTAATTTCCATCTTGATTTCCCTGTTGACCCAGTGATCATTCAGGAGCAGGTTATTTAATTTCCATGTGTATGCATGGTTTTGTGGATTCCTGTTGGGGTTGATTTCCAATTTTATTCCACTGTGGTCTGAGAGAGTACTTGATATAATTTCAGTTTTCTTAAATTTACTGAGACTTGGGCCAGGCACAGTGGCTCATGCCTGTAATCCCAGCACTTTTGGAGGCCGAGGTGGGCGGATCACCTGAGGTCAGAAGTTCAGAACAGCCTGGTCAACATGGCAAAACCTCGTCTCTACTAAAAATACAAAAAGTAGCCGGGCGTGGTGGCATGCGACTGTAATCCCAGCTACTCGGGAGGCTGAGGCAGGAGAATTGCTTGAAACTGGGAGGTGGAGGTTGCAGTGAGTGAGATTGCGCCACTGCACTCCAGCCTGGTGACAGAGTGAGACTCTGTCTCAAAAAAAAAAAAAAAAAGAAAAAAAATTTACTGAGACTTGTTTTGTGGCCTATCATATGATCTGTCTTGGAGAACGTTCCATGTGCTGATGAATAGAATGTGTGTTCTGCAGTTATTGGGTAGAAGGTTCTATAAATATCCATTAAGTCTATTTGTTATAGGGTATAGTTTAAGTCCATTGTTTCTTTGTTGACGTTCTGTCTTGATGACCTTTCTAGTGCTGTCAGTGAGTATTAAAGTCCCCCACTATTATTGTGTTGCCGTCTATATCATTTCTTAGGTCTAGCAGTAATGGTTTTATAAATTTGGGAGATCCAGTGTTAGATGCATATATATTTAGTATTATGATATTTCCCTGTTGGACTAGTCCTTTTAACATTATATAATATCCTTCTTTGTCTTTTTTAACTGCTGTTGCTTTAAAGTTTGTTTTGTCTGATGTAAGAATAGCTACTCCTGCTTGCTTTTGTTGTCCATTTTCATGGAATATCTTTTTCTACCCCTTTAACTTAAATTTATGTGAGTTCTTATGTGTTAGGTGAGTCTCTTTAAAGCAGCAGAAACTTGGTTCGTGAATTCTTATCCCTTCTGCCATTCTGTATCTTTTCAGTGAAGCATTGAGGCCATTTACATTCAGTGTTAGTATTGAGATGTGAGGTACTATTCTATTCATTGTGCTATTAGTTGCCTGAATACTTTGTGTTTTTCTTCATTGTGTTATCGTTATATACACAATATATATGTATTGTGAGATTTATGCTTTAAGGTCTTCTGAGATAGATGCTTTAAGGAGGTTCTATTTTGTTTGTTTTTTCGAGGATTTGTTTCAAGATTTAGAGCTCCTTTTAGCAGTTCTTATAGTGCTGATTTGGTAGTGGCGAATTCTCTCAGCATTTGTTTGTTTGGAAAAGACTGTATCTTTCCTTCACTTATGAAGCTTAGTTTCACTGGATACAAAATTCTTGGCTGATAATTGTTTTGTTGAAGGAGGCTAAAAATAGGACCTCAATCCCTTGTAGCTTGTAAGTTTTCTGCTGAGAAATCTGCTGTTAATTTGATAGGTTTTCCGTTATAGGTTACCTGATGCTTTTGCCTCATAGCTCTTCAGATTTTCTTTTGTCTTAACTTTAGATAACCTGTTAACTATGTGCCTAGGTGATAATATTTTTGTGATGAGTTTCCCAGGTGTTCTTTGAGCTCCTTGTATTTGGATGTCTAGATTTCTAGCAAGGCCAGGGAAGTTTTCCTCAATTACTGCCACAAATATGTTTTCCAAACTTTTAGATTTCTCTTTTTCCTTAGGAACACCAATTATTCTTAGGTTTGGATGTTTAACATAGTCCCATACTTCTTGGAGGCTTTGTTCATTTTTTAAATTATTTTTTCTTTGTCTTTGTCGGATTAGGTTAATTCAAAAGCCTTGTCTTTGAGCTTTGATGTTCTTTATTCTGCTCGTTCAATTCTATTGCTGTTACTTTGCAGTGAATTTTGCTTTTCTCTAACTGTGTCCTTGATTCCCAGAAGTTCTAATTGTTTTTTATTTATGCTATCTATTTCACTGAAGAATTTTTCTTTCCTGTATCCTGTATCCTGTTTTGTATTTCTTTAACTTGGACTCCACCTTTCTCTGCTCCCTCCTTGAGTAACTTAATAATCCACTTTCTGAATTCTTACTCTGGCAATTCGGATATTTTTGTCTTGGTTTGGATCCATTGCTGGTGAGCTGGTATAATCTTTTGTGGTATTAAAGAAGCTTGTTTTGTCATATTACCAGAATTGTTTTTCTGGTTCCCTCTCATTTGCGTAGACTAAGTCCCAGGGAAGATCTGGGACTCAAGGATTACTGTTCAAATTCTTTTGTCTTACAGAGTGCTCCCTTGATGTGGTGTTCTCCCCCTTCTCATAAGAATGTGGCTTCCTAAGAGCCAAACTGTAGTGATTGTTTTTGCTCTTCTAGGTCTAGCCACCCAACAGAGCTACCCAGCTCCATGCTGGTACTGGCACATGTCTGCAAAGAGTCCTGTGATATGATCGGTCTTCAGGTCTTGCAGCCATGGATAACTGCACCTGCTTCAGTGGAGTTAGTAGGGGAGTGAAGTGGTGTGGGTCCTTGGTTGTGTTTTTGTTTAGTGTGCTGGTTGCCTCCCAGGGAGCCTGCAGTGGTGATCCGTTCCTTCAAAGCGTCTGTGAATTATCTCAGCTTTCCTGGTATGTTCTTGCATTAGTTCTTGGAACAAAAGTTCATGATGTAAGTCTCCACATGCTGCTCTATCCTTCCGAGTGGAAGCTGCAACTAGTCTTGCCTCCTATCCACCCTCTTGGAAAAAATGGCAGATCTGCATTTTCAGAATAGTTCTTGGTCGTTGTTTTCAGTAATTAATGGTGAAGAGTAAATTGCTAATCTTAGTAAGAGTCTTGTGGTGTTTTTGCTGGGTGATCTCAAGTATATGGAGAGTTCAGATCAGCCAGGCCTTCTCCTCTTAGGCATATTTGTAACTATTTTTTATTTGGGTAAAATAATGGGGTACAAGTGTACTTTTGTTACATAGATATACTGCATAGTGGGGAGGTCAGGGCTTTTAGTGTACCCATCACCTACATAGTACATTGTACTCAGTAAGCAATTTCTTGTCATCCCACCAATTCCCAGCCGTCTGAGTTTGTGTTGTCTATCATTCCACACTCTATGCCCACATATGCACATCATTTAGCTCCCACTTCTATGTGAGAATATGTGACATTTGACTTCCTGTTTCTGAGTTATTTCACTTAAAATAATGGCTTCCAGTTCCATTCATGTTGCTACAAAAGATACGATTTCATTCTTTTTTAATGACTGAATAGTACCCCATTATATATATGTACCACATTTTCTTGATCCAGTCATCCATTGGTGGACACATAGGTGCATTCTATATCTTTGCTATTGTGAATAGTACTGCAATAAACATAAGAGTGCAGGTGATTTTTGGTATAATGATTTCTTTCTTTTCTTTTCTTCTCTTCTCTTCTCTTTTCTTTTCTTTTCTTTTCTTTTTTTTTTTTTCTTTCTTTCTTTCTTGAGATGGAGTCTTGCCCTGTTGCCCAGGCTGGAGTGCAATGGCGCAATCTGGACTCACTGCAACCTCCGCCTCCCAGGTTCAAGCAATTCTCCTGACTCTACCTCTTGAGTAGCTGGGATTACAGGCCCGTGCCACCATGCCTACCTAATTTGTTGTATCTTTAGGGGTTTCACCATGTTGACCAGGCTGGTCTCAAACTCCTGACCTCATGATCCACCCGCCTCAGCCTCCCAAAGTGGACTACAGGAGTGAGCCACCGTGACCAGCCAATGATTTCTTTTCCTTTGTGTAGATACCCAGTAGTGGAATTGCTGGATTGAATGGTAGTTCTATTTTTAGTTCTTGAGAAGTCTCCATAGTGTTTTCCATAGTGGTTGCACTAATTTACATTCCCATCAACAGTATATAAGCATTTTCTTTTTTCCCTTTTCTTGCCATCTGTTATTCTTTGTCTTTTTACTAATAACCATTCTGACTGGTGTGAGATGGTATCTCATTGTTGTTTTCATTTGCATTTCTCCGATGATTACTGATGTTGAGCATTATATGCTTGTTGGCCATTTGTGTGTCTTCTTTTGAAAAATGTCTAATCATGTCTTTTGCCCACTTTTAAATTGGATTGTTTTTCATTTGCTGAGGTGTTTGAGTTCTGCATATCTGCAACTATTATTTCATCTTTGGGGTTCTGTGTGCTGTGTGTGGTGACCCTAAAGACCAGAGAGGAAGGTTCTCAGACTTCCTGAGAGCAGACAGATGGCAGGATGCTGTGGATATCTGAACTTTATCTGGTGCCTGTGCTCAGAGGCCTGTGGACTGTGTAAACCTGGACAGTTCACAAAGTCCATCAATGCATGTGGCTGTATTTAACCTCCCACATAAGGATGTGGAGTCAAGGTGTGAATAGGCCATAGTTTCCTTGGAGTCAGCTTCTGAATTAAATACCAGAGGTGTGGCTTTATCCCAGCTTTTTCTACCCAAATGCTGTTGGTTTCATTTTAGTGCAGCTACCAGAAATAATTTTTGCATCATTTTCTTTTTCTCACAATGTCACATGTCTAAGAATAATCCCATATTTGAATCTTTAGCTCGGTTTCCTAATCCCAGGTATAAATCTGGTTTTGCTATCCTGAGGAGCAGTAGAAAGAAGTCGCTGCATCCACCTCAGTAGGTTTACATGGAGATAGAAAATGTCATCATGTTTCATTATTTGGAGCTTGCCTTGTAGCACTTCACTCTTGAGGAGGGAAATTGGATCTCTGGTGGTTGGTGAAATCTGCTGAAGGATTCACCTTATCATGCATTTTGTTTTACTCACAGAATCATGTCAACCCTGCCATGGACTTCACGCAGACTCCACCTGGGATGTTGGCTCTGGACAACATGCTGTACTTTGCCAAGCACCACCAAGATGCTTACATCCGGGTAAGTATGAAGGCCCTTTTCAGATATTGTGTTTCCTACTCAATGTTAATTTCAAACGCACAAATACAGAGGGATTAGCTTTAGATGAGTGATCCCATGTTTTCTGGCTTTCTTAGTAAACTAAAAAAAAAAAAAAGTCACAATTGAGATCAATCAGGACTGAAATGGGGATTTTAACTTTTAATTATTTTCTTTTGATGGCGTTAAAAAATACAGTAGATACTGGAAAACCATTTCATATAGTCCAATATTGAATTATGACAAACACTCTTAAATAAGGAACAAAAATGAACTACCTACCAAAAACCTGCATGACTCCAAATTCAGTGGCTATTTAGTCTGATGCTGGAGGAACAATAAGATAAACAAAAACAAAGAAAAATGGGAGAGATGGGGAAGGCAGAGAAATGCCTTCTTACATTTCACATCAGACTAGTCAAATTTCAGTCACAAAGGTAGATTAATTTGTGGGTGTAGCAGAAAGAAGTGGGGGACTCTATTTTCTCTGTGAAATGGAAGATGCCACCTGCTGACTGGGCAGTGCTGGCATGGAGGAAACCGAGTATGAATGAATGGGAGCCTAAGGTGACAGTGGCAGAGAACACTCATCTATCAGGGCTACTCAGTTGGAGCCCTGGATTTGTGCTGACACCTCTCCCCTGTCCTCAGGGAGAAGAACCCAGACTCAGTCAAGATGAGGTAGATCCAAGATTGAGATCAGGGAAGGATATGAATAAATGGGGCAGGGGAATTGGTGAGTGGTTAAAATGATGACTAGATGTAAGCTTAGAAAGTATTTGATGAACAAGTCGCCTAAAGCAGGAAGAGTAAGGCTGAACTTAAAATGTAGTAAGAGCATGTCTATTAATCTCACATTCTCTGTTGGATTCTCTGTGGCACTGGCTCCCTGGAGACCTGGGTTGGAGGCCTGGCACTATCATCATCCAGTGATGTCAGTGTAGGCAGTTCCTTTGGTCTGGGCTCAAGTTTCCTCTGTAAACCAGAGAGACGTGACGGTTCTTAGTTGGGACAGTAATTATTCCCCTAGAGAGCATTTGGCAATGTGTGGGCATGTTTCTTCAGTTGTCACCGTGCCTAGTGGTGTGCTACTGGCCAAAATCTGTAATCTCTGGGACCGTCTGTACAGTGAAAAACTGTACCACCCAGCAGTGACCTCCTTGAATAAGGCCATGCCAGATCACTAAGTTCGCTGTAGGCAATATATTTTAAATCTGTGTATTGTTCTATATATATGCATTTTGGGAAACTTTGACCTATTCTGGAGTATTATTTGCAATCTGATTATACAGATAATTTTATTGTCATTTCTCTGAAAGGTTTGGGATCAGGTGTTTGGTCAGAAATACAGTCCCACGTAAGAAAATTGTTTTTCCATAAAACTTTGATTTGACTTACATGCAAATATATTTGTTGCACAGATGGTTTCTAAGAATGTAATCTGCTTTTGTAGTAAGTAAATTAATATTTTTGAAATACCATGTAGTATAGCCTTGGAGAGTTGAGCATGAAAAGTAGAAGCTGAGTAGAAATTGAATTTACCATTAACTGATTAATGTTCATGGATGAGTGTTTCTAAAATTGGAGCTTATTGATGCTGAATGTATTGTTAATTGCATAAGAAGCATATGTCTCATGAAAAGTAATTTAATGTTTTAAGTCTGTTTTCCTCAATGTGTTCTTTAAACATTGTAAGTGAAATGAATACCATGGCAGCCTGACAAAACTTTATATTTGATAAGGACTTAAAAGAAAAAACCTATTTGTAAAGAAAAGTGTGGCTTTTGGTCCACAGGCACTTTTCTTTATTGGTTAGACTTTCCTGTATCTCAGATGACTTTATTGGTTTCTCAGAAGTGTCCTTTCCCTAATTTTTTTCTGTGTCCCATTTGACTTTGGGGCATTTACTAGATAGAAAGCTAAGGCTATTTATGTGAATGCATGGGGTTAGTAGAGCATATATAAAGTCTGAAGATCTCTGCAAGGAAATTTTAGGGTGACTTTGAAAATAGATATCTCCATGATACGGCAGTAGTGCTATAGGTAGTGGAAATAGTGATCTGGACAGCTAATTAAATTTTGATTTATGAGCTCAGTGGTCTTTTCTGAAACATTAAGATGGGCTCAATCTTTTCAGTTTACATTTTGATAAAAATCTGTTTTGAGGATGTATATCTTCTCTATGAATGCAGTTTTTCATTTGTTATTTATATCTTTCATTTGATAAATGCTTATTCTGTACCTGAATATTGCCTCACTATTCACTCTCTTTGCCAGTCAGTTTTATGGTTGAGATTTTAAATAACTGTAACTCACACACACAAACACACATGTATATATGCACAAATATTCCCTCGTTGCCCTTGTCACTCCCAGGTATCATGGTCCCTCACCCACTTTCTAGCCATGTGTTCCCAAGTTGTTTTTTGCCCTGTGTTAATCTTGCCTGCCACTCACTTTTCAGCCTCCTGCTCCAAGACATTTCTCCATTGCTTTCTGGAAGCTGTCTTCCCAAATGCAGAGCACTTTCCTCATTCTTTGTCTCACCGACCTTGCCCTTGACACCTGACACTCTCTAGTGACCAGGCCTCTGTTGCCCAGCAGCCAGTGATCTGTCTTGGCTCTGTTGCTGACAGTTGCTCTTAATCTCTCTGGTGGGTTTCTTCTCTGCCTGCCCATCAAATGCACAGGACCCCCATGACTCTGTCTCTGGACCTTTGCTTGTCTCAGTCCCTCAGGCTACACATTTCCTGAGTAACCATCAAACACCCAGCTGTGAGCCAAAGGATGGGGATTTCTCTAGAAGACAAGTTGCTCATGGGTCCTGACATTGAGGAGTTCACTGTCTAGAGATCAAAAGTAGAGGTGATGGTGGGGTGTGGGGTGAAGAGACAAATACCAGGCAGTTTCCAAGTCACTTGGCGTGTGTCTTGATTGAGTATGCTGGGAACACAGAGGAAAGTCACCAACACAGATGTGGGGGTCAGGTCAGGAAAGCTTCCTGGAGGAAGTGACATCTAGGCTCAGAGCTGTTGAATAGTACTAGTTAACCTGGTGAAGGGAAGAGATGGAGAGTACTACCTCATGTGGAGGGAACCACGAGAGCAAAGGTATAACGGTGCATGCTTTGTTCGGGGAACCACACTAGTATAGGATGGCCAAGGCAAGGACTGGCAAACGGAACATGGCTTGTGAGGCGAATGTGCTAGTTCAGTGGGGCTGTCTTAAGCCATCCGAAGAGGTCTGTTGGACCTAAAGGCAGTGAAGAATTTCTGAAGTATTTTAAATCAAGATGAGAATGAAGTTTAGACAAATCACTGTCCCACTAGAAAACCAATGTGAGAAATCAAGACCAGAGGCAAAAATAAAATGTGGGCAAAAATAAAAGAGAAATGGAGATAACTTGAACTAGGGGAGTGGGAGTGGCAATGAAACGAATAGTTTGAATGAGTTACTTTGGAACTAAAATCAACTTGACCTCTAAGGAAGAGGGAGGTTTCTGCCTTGAGTGGGAGTAGACAGTGGCGTCATTAAGGAAATAGATAGTGCAGGTCTGTGCAGGGGCAGGCATCTGGACCATCCAGACTCTTACACGCATGTAGGACATCTGTCTAGGAGGACATACGCAGTAGGCAGTGAGATCTGGGTGGCTGAGCTCAGACCCATGTAGACATCACACTCTATATTCTAACTCCTTAAGCATTCTTATTCCCTCCAATTCATTCATCTATAGTGTCACAATATTATCTTAGTGGCTTCCTTGCTAATGTCTGGAACCTTCAAACCCATATTCTGTGCCAGTTGCTAGGATGATCTTCCTAACCAGAGTTCTGAGTGCTTCAGGGACCATACCTGGCCTGCAGCCTATCTCCGTGACTTTATCTCTTACTACCAACTCTCCTTTCCCTCTTTCCATCCCCCATCCCCCCACTATAGTAGCCTTTGCCTATATAAATGATGGTAGGCCTCACTAGCCAGCCAAATCTCTACCACTGTGTCTTTGCTCCCATTCTTGCTTCTGCCTGAGTGCCTGTCCCACACCATGTGTCTGTTGGACAGTCCTCATGGCAAAGGCCATCTTCTGTCTGAAGAAAGCTTCCTGACCCTCTACCCAGATGACTCCATCCACTCTCTTTGCACCATGGACACACAATTTAAATCCTAGAACATTGTACAACCTTAAATGTATTTACTTTCGGTTTCCCTAATTGATTGTAAACGTCTTGTGAGCAGGCACCAAGGTTCATTTATATTCTAGCCCCTGACAGAGCCTAGCACATAGTGGCTTTTAATCATTTCTTATAATTCACATGAGTAAAGAGTTTCTTTAGTTCTGGTTTAAATGGTCTCTTGACCATGATAAATTCTTTTTTACCATTGGAGAATCATGGCCTTTGTTCCTCCTAACAGTAATAAAGGTATATTTTTGCTATGTGAATTTTGTGATGGGCAACCCGGTTTCTCATGTTGTATTTGAATAAAGTTTTGTAACTGTGTACTGACAAAAGCAGTGAATGTAACTGAATTACCCCACACTTGGACAGGCTCAGAACATGAGGAGGAATTGCAAATCTGAGTATCTTACTGTGCACCAAGTAAAATCTGGGGCATAGCATGATTTCAGACTCCCAAGTCTTATTTACGCTGGGTGTAATTGCTTTTACTTTTTCTAGAAATGCTTCACTCCCCAGCTCTCCCCACCAAGGGAATGGTACAAGGCTATCTCAGTAAGGAGACAAATGGAGGGGAGGGTTCTTGGCTCATGCCTATGATCCTGCTGTCATTATTTTCAGAGACAAGATAATGGTACAGAGTTGAGTGTGTTGTAGATGTTTTGTTTTGCTTTTTTCTTACTCCCTGGAATGACAATTCTCAGTGTTTTGGAAGAAGGAAGCTTAGTGACTCCCTTGGAAACAAAATCTTTAGACTTAGAATGTATGGTTTTTTTGTTTGTTTGTTTGTTTGTTTTAAAGACACAGTCT